GTGAGTGATAAAGTTGAGGGTAAGCTCTTTGCAGCTCTGGGGGGGTCTCTTTGGTGTGACACCCCCGTGCTTTTTCATGGGATGCCATTTTTTCTCACTAGCAGGGGCTCAGCCCGTTTTTGTGGACCACCGCGAGCCCTTCGTGCCCCCTCCCCAGCCTCATCCCTTCGCCTACGAGAAACTGTGAAAAATGTGTGACAAACTGGAGGTGTTTCCAGTCCTATGAGGGGTTTTGGGGTCCCTCCGGGGTGACGCTCCCCTGCAGCCTGCGGGCCTCTGCTTGGAGAGCCGGAGGGTGTGCAGCAGGCTGGGGGTGTTTTTCTTCCTTTTTTTTGGGTTTCTTAGCTACAAGCGAAAGGTTTTTGGGGTTTTCTTTTTTGGGTTTCTTAGCTACAGTCAAAAGCTTTTTGGTTTTGGGGTTTTTTGGGGGGTTTCTTAGCTACAAGCCACAGGTTTTTGGGGTTTTTTTGGTGTGTTTTGGTTTTTTTTGGGGGGGGGTTGTTTTGTTTTGCTTTTAAATATTTTAATGCTTATTTAGTTGCTTTTAAATAGTTGAATGCTTAGTTAGCTGCTTTTAAATGGTTAAATGCTTAGTTAGTTGTTTTTAAATAGTTAAATCGCTGTTGCTGCGCGCAGCAGCCTTCCCCAGACCGCGCTGCCTTGGTAAGGGGGATTTGGGGGGGTTTTCTCCCTCTTGTAGAGGGAGGGGCGTTGCGCAACCCACCCCCCAGCCTGCTGCGGGAGCCTCCTTATCTCTGTAGTTTGCATCCCTGTTCTCCCAAGGCCCAGGCGCCTGAAGGGATTATTCAGGAGTCCCTTGTCTTGCAACCGTCCCAATTATTCACAAAGAGCCAAGACTTGCTTTGGTTGTGCAATGATTCTGACCACCTCAAGTGATAGCATCCCCTACATGTTACATTTGTTACATTTACAGTTATCAAGCCCATCTGCAATTGATGTTTGCTACTGTTTGCACCAAGTCACTGTTCTGTGTGGGGCCCATAATACATCTTCGTGCTTCACTTACATTTGTCTATGTTTATAGACAGAGGAGGGCAACATGCAAATCTGGATGATTTACTTAAAGGTATGACTGTGACATGTGACTTGCTTCTTGTGTAAGTTCTCTGAGGGGCTATTCCCATGGCTGTGTAAGTCTTTTTGAGTATGCTTGTAATGATGTTCACAGGGCTTGAGAATTGTTTGCCATCTCATGTCCATGCATCACTGCATTTCCTGAGTACCTGATAGAGGGGATTGTAAGAAATGTGAAACTACAACAAAAAGGCCTTAATATTCTCTAGTTTTTAGTAGTCTTTAGTATTGTAACTTGTATTTCTGCATGCATAGTGATCTAACAATATAACTGTTACACTAATCCCTGTTTTCTCATTAAGGAATGTAGTGGAAGGACATGGGCACAAGCTATCACTTAGTCGTTAGACAAAATAATTAAGTGAAACAAAAGTGGTCTTGATTTTCAGCAAATAATTGGGATAATTGTGGGATAAAAGAGACTCCTAAATAACTCTACTCCAGACAGCTCAGCCTTGGGAGGGCAAATGCGCTAAGCTACAGAGATAAGGAGGCACCAAGAGAGCAACAAGACTGGAGCAAAACAACCTGAAGGACACGGTATACGTGATGCTAGAACTGAGTTTGCGCAGAAACAAATGTCAATCAGTGAACAGCGTGATGAAGAGGATGGGCCTTCATCTTGGGACCCCCGAAGACCACCCAAAGATACTAACAGACATGCGTGAAAGATATTTACATATGCTAATTAGTTCCTAGAAATATAATGAATAATTACCTGTGTGATTGTATTTAACCTGAAGCAACAGGGTGTCTGGCGCGCACGTTTGGAGGAGAAATCCCCCGTGTGCCCGGCGCCGCAATAAAGAATACCTGCTTAACAGTATACATTGTACTGTTAGGTTTTTCTTACCGGATCTTCGAATCAGCTGCCCCGGGGTGGTGGGCTCTGCTCGCACCTGCACACAGCCCCCCCGGCACGTCCTGCACGAAGGCCCCCGCGCAGGGGGATATTTGCGGGGTCAGGGACTAATAATTTAAACTGCCGAGCAAAACAAATAAGGGTAAGGCGAAGCCGAACCCGGCGGGCCGCGGGAGCGGGCGGTATTGTTTGCTTTTCAGATAGGCACACAAAAAATACAAACAGTAGCAGGAGGGATACGGAGATTAAAGTTTGGTTTTTTTTGTAAAAACAAAATACCAGGAATCCCACCGGAAAGCGGTGTTTCCATTTTGTGCGCGTGGAAGATTAGCAACGCTTTGCTGCTTGCTGCGAGCGTCCCCTTCCCCCCGGAAAACTTTGACCAAACTCCATTTTTTTTGGAGAAAGGAGAAAAAAAAAAAAAAAAAAAAAGGGGTTTCCCGCAGAAAATATTGACTTTTTAAATTGGAACCTGCCCCGGCTCTGGTCTGGAAGGCAGCCGGGAAACAACCCCTTTTTACTTTTCTGACACAAAAATTGAAAATTCGAAAGGAAATGAGGTGCTTCCCCTGCAAACGCTGACGCTGTCGTAAACCCGCAGGGAGGAGCGGGGTGGCCCAGCTCCGTGCCAGGGAATCGCAGGGCAGAGGGGAGCCAGGCGTGCAGCCGGACGGACAGACGGATGCTGCTGCTGGGCTTCAGGTCTTGCCCCTGCGTGTCAGGGTGGGGGGACCGCAGACCCTCCTGATGTGCCCCACGCGTAGCCAGGGGATGTTGCTGTGGGTTTATCCAAGTTGTACCCTAGGAAGGGGAGGGAGATGCCCCGGGGACTCCGCAGAGGAGCTGGGAATTGCGTTTCATTTCACCGCCCGCTCCCGCAGCAGCGCCGTAACCTCAAAACCCTCCGTTCCTTGGCGCACGCTCAGGACCTGAACCCCCAAAAGTTGGAAATGCTTGCAGTGTTTGTTCAGCGAGTGCTTCAGGGATGTTTTAGAGGGTCAGTGTGTGAACTGCGTGGGCAGAGGCTGGGAGGGGTGTGCGTTGGCTTGTCCGTCAGGTAACGAATGCAACTAGATGTGTTTAAGGTGGCGGGGGGCTGCGGAGCTGCAAACCCTTGCTGAACAGAGCTGGTCTGGTCTGACGAGCTTGGAGGGGGGGGTTTCCGCGGCGTGAATGCGCGGAGCCAAAAATCAGATAGGTGGGGGTGAATTGGGTGGCCTCAATGAGCGCAATGGGAATGGTTCTCCCAGCTGAGCGTCCCGGCGTTGGGCAGGACCCTGGTTACCGCGGGGATGGACTGCGTGCTGTTCCGCAATCGGCTGTGAGTTGTGGTTCCTGGAGCGTCACCGCGGGGGTTTTTCGGTGCCAGGTCCCCAGGTAGCTCGTGCCACAGAGTCGTCCCGTAGAGAGCCGTGCCCGTAGCCCTGCTCGTCTGCCTGCCCCCGGCCTGCCGCTGTCCCGGCGAGCGGTTCCCCTGCGTAGGGGAATGTTTTCTGCCTGGTGTGTGTTTAGGATCTCAGGATGTTTGACTCTTGAAGTTTCAAAAGTGTTTTGTTGCATTTGAAAATAACAAACGATGTCTGTTTCGGAAGCAGAAAGTCGTTGTACAGCAAGCAAAACTGGAGTTTCTTCTTTTTCATTGAAAACAGTGATGAAATGGGTGGTTTGGCTAGGAAAAAGCTCGGCTGGATTTGCTTTTCAATTCCACGCTGTCCGTTTGGTCCGGTAACGCCTTGTCCTGGTGCCTCAAGTCCCTCATGACCCCCCGGGGCTCCTCTCTCGTGCTGCCGTGTGTCCAAAGCGAGCTTGGAAACGGGCAGAGCCGGTGTTCGGAGAGTTTCTGGACTTGGCATGGATGATGCTGACTGCACACCCGGCTCCCCGCAGCGCAGCCCCCCCCCCCCCCCCCCCCTCCCCCGCAGCCATTTGTTGCTGGCGGCAGCTGCGGGGGGCCGGCAGCGCCCGTGCCCACCCCGCCGCAGAATGCTGGAGCCGGCATTTGAATAATGAATTCTGTTTAAGACTGAAAGCTCGGACTTCCATCTGTAACGAGACTCGAAATAATTACAGCTGATGATTGCCTGGTACCTCAGCCAGAAAAAACAGAACAGATTTTGGCCGCCAGCAATTACAAGCAGCACCCGCTCGAGCACAGGGAGAACTTTCCGAACGAATTCATGAATACATTTGCGTGGATCGGGAGCGATGGGGATGGCGGTTCAGGGTGCAGCACCGTGGGGAGGGGGTGTCTGCGTTCAGACGGCTCTTGGACCACTCCTCTGGGGCATCAGCAGCATCATTTGGGGCTGGGAGGAGCAGGGCATCTGTACCGTGCTTGCGTGGGGCTGTCGCAACGCACCGGGATGAGAGTTGGTGGGCAAGTGGGGAAAGACGAGAAAAACGGGTAAAAGCACAGTCGGGATGAGGCTGTTCCCAGGAGCAGTGGGGTGCCCGGAGGGGACGATGAATTTTGGAGCAGACTCTGCCAACTGTTTGCCCTTTTCTCCTTTGGTGTGGTCTTGTGGCTTCCTGGGCAAGGGCTGAGCGGTGAAGGAGGGTTTCTCCACCGGGCACGGGCGGTGGCTGCCAAAAACACACGTGCGGTCCCCAGCAGCCCTGCGCGTCTCCCGGGCTCAGATTTGCCTTCTGTATAATGGGGATAATTTATCAAATAGTGAATAATATGCTTTCCTTCTTCCGTGTGTCTTCCGCGTATCATTTCAACTGACTGAAAATTGTCAAATTAGACTATTTTCTTTGACTGTTCCATTTAGGAGCAGGGGGAGCTGAAGGCGCTGATAATTGCGCTGTGCACTCTGCCGGTGTCTTGTAAAATAAGCAGCGAGTAAAAATGCTGTTGCCTGAGCTTTGAGGAATGCCCTCGTTGGTGAAGTGCGGGCTTTCTCCGCTGAGGTTAGACGCTGCTGATTTTTAAAAGTCTTTTTTCTTTGCCCCCCAGAGCGTGGCTGCCCGAGCCTGGCTGAGGCTGACACACGGCAAGACCTCGGCCGCCGACTTCGCGAATCGCTCGGGGACTGTAAGTACATGGCGCTATCGCTGCTTCCCATCTGCCAAAATTGCATGTGCTTCGAATTGTCCCAGCGTAATGCGTCTATATTCATCATTGCTCCCTTATCTTGTTCGGCTCCAATCTACAAGGATCTGCTTGGTTCTCCTCTGCACCTTAAATTCTCCTTTATCTCAGCTGGTGTCACCCCCCAGCCTGCAGACAGCTGCAGCATCTTTCGTCTTGCAGCTGGAAGGCGCGTGCGGGAAGCCCGTCCCCGGCTTTTGCACGTGGGGCTGCTGCACAGCCCGGCTGGACTAGCCCAGGGTGGGCATTAAGGCCGATGTGATGGTCCACTGGGAGCGAGTGCCTCTGCTCTGCAGCCGTCCTTGTGCTGTGCGTGATCCCGGTGGGAGGGATGCTTCTGGCAGGAGGGATGCTCCCGGCAGGAGGGATGCTGCCAGCCTGCTGGAGTGGTGGGGCGAGGGCCTGGTGTCAAAAGAAACAGTGTGCTGGGGGAGCTGGCTGCTACGTGAAGCTGTTTTCTGACCAGTATGACCCCACTGATCCCCCAGTTTTGGTGAAGGGTCTGCCTGGGAGGAGGGAGCGCACAGGGCTCTGCCTAAGCTGGGAGATCGGATGCATCCCTGGGCATTTCCGTACCTGGGAGAGAAAGCGCGCAGCCAGGTCCCGGGGTGCTTTTCCTCTGGAAATCTCTTGCACTTGTACTTTTCCTCCAAGCTAAAGTGAATGCAAAACCAGAAAGCACTTTATTTTATGCCAAAGCAGCCTGCCAGCCCCAGGTAAATGCACAGAGACCTTATGCTGGAACTTCCTTGTGTTTTGAGCTGATCTTCTGTTGCCAGTGGGTTTTCACAGTTCCTTCAGATCTGTTGGTGTTAAGATGTTGCTATTAAGATGGGAGGATTTCCTCTGCAGTGATCCAAGTTATTTTCTCCCTTTGTACCACTGAAGCTGGTTAAAGAAAACAGCACTGCAAAATGACTTGTGACTTGGGGTGCCCAGTTTGAGTTAAGGCTAAAATACCCAATTCTGCCTCTCTGCACCATCCCATCTCGGGATGAAACGCAAGGCACCGAGTCCGCTGTCCTGAACCGATGCCCTTCCCTCAGGCTCCCTTAGAAATCTGCCTTTAAACCCGGCTCCTTCCCATGATACAGGAGCTGCTTGGGCAGCGCAGCCTGCGCAGCGTCGCTGAACGGGGACCCAGAGAAAGGAACAGCTGGTTAATCAGTTCAAGTGGCTGGGAACCAGTTTACCGTGTATTAAGTATTCTTTGATTCTGTTTAATTGGGACGTTGCAGAGACCCTGACGTCCAGTAATAAGGACAGTGGGAAGCTGATCAGACAGCTCGTTAACACTCAATTAATGTCGCTCTCTACAGCACAGCAGTAACTTTTAAAAAATGTATGTGCGCAGCCGAGGTGGAATGAAATCGCGACGGCAATTTCCAAAGCGCCTGCTCCGAGGTTGCGGCGCGGCGCTGCCTTGGTGCGTGTGCGCAATTGAGGTGGAATTGAAAGTTGAAGTGCAATTTTTTTAGGTAAATGCAGTCACTTTACACAGTACAGAACGAGTTCATTTTTAATTTATAGGCGCAATTAAAGCGCACTAAGAATAAAATTCATAAATCTTTAGCTAACTGTCCGTGATTCTTCGGAAAACTCTTTTTGTTCCTCCTGATGCGGGTGATGTGGGCACCTGGTGTGCCTGGAATAATAATAATAGCCAGCTATTCCCCTTCGCCCTCGTCCTTGTCAATCCTGCGCAGGCTTCATTCATCTTACCTGGATGTGCCCTTGCGATGCCCGCGTGCTTGCCTGGCGCCCGCAGCCGGCGGAAGGCTCGGCAGCAGGTTGAAGTGTCGGGTTTTGGCCGGGTGACCTGAGCCTCGAGGGCGAATTTCTGCCAGGGTTATTTGTTCGGATGCAGAAGCGGAGCGCGGGAGGCCAGAAGCCGTCCTTCCTCCAGCTCGGGGGAACTGTCACCTCTGCTTGGCACATGTGGCATCTGAGGTGCAGAGGGACGCGTCCCTGGGCTGAGGGTGATGGCCATGGCCATACTGGGAGCCCTGGAGAGGAGTTGTGTGGAGAAGTGTGAACTGGCAAAGCAGGGAGGGAGCAGGGCTGGTGCCTCCTCTGACTCTCAGCAGAGGCATCTTGGTCTGTAACAGCTACGGAGGGTTATTCCTGGGGCATGGGTGGAGGAAGGTCTCAGCCGGCTGCCTTTGGCTGTCCTCTCATTTCCCGTCCACGCTTGGCATAGCATGGCTGGAGGGGTAATTGCCATCTCTGCGTTTCCCTAATGAGCTCTGGCTCTGCTAATGAGCCTATTGCTCCTCGGGGAAGCGGGTCCAGCAGAGCCTCTGCAGCGAGGGGGGCACAGCTTTGATCAGGGGATGCTGCTTGTCCCTGCGTGGTCGGAGGGGGACCGTGCCCCGTTGGCCGCGTTGTAACTCGGCTCCCTCCAACCATTCATCGCTGTCAGTCGTGGATTCATTTAAGGGTCTGATTTCCCCTCCCTTCTTCCTTCCTTTCTTTTTTTTTTTTAATTACATCTGCACACTCAGTCATGCAAAAAATTACACGATTTTAGAGATTCAGCTGACTCTGGTCTCGGATTGCGAGGGCTGTTTAGTACCGCCATCACCGTTCAATTATCCCCAGCGCACGGAAGAGACGTGCTGGAATCATACGGCCTTTGGGTGGAAAACTGCTCTGTCCTGCGGGGAGCACTCTGGGGAGCACCGGCGCTTTCCCAGCCGTGCGGCACACGCCGGTCCTCGACGCTCACCCTCTGCCTGCATCCGTCGGGATAGCGGTGGGTGCTGGGTCCGGTGTGAGCGTGCCGAGAGACGCAGCAGGCGGGGATTTAGGTGTTCAGCGCTGCTGGCTGCCGAACAGGCACTTTGGTTTCGTGTAGCAGAGTGGCTGGTTGCGAGTCTGCTGGAAAATCCAGGATGCAGGGCGAGCCCAGCTGTGTGGAGCATCTTTTATCCTCCCGGAGGGCAAATCGGCCCCTCTGCGACAGCGGTGTCGGGGCTGGCACTCGTTGCTGCATCCTCAGCCCTTTGGATGTGCTGTGGAAGAGGGTGAGGTGTGGGTACCGAGCCCTCTCACAGCCCCCGGGAGAGGCGGGTGCGGGCTGCCGAGCGCACGTGTGCCGGTCGTGGGACCGAAGCGGGGCCAGCCCCTCGCTGGAGGCAGCCCCTGGCTGTCCCCTTCCCCGGGCAGCCCAGGCACCGTGGCAGCTTTGCCGTTCGCGATGGAAAACGCCGTATTTTTTAGGATGGCGATGACTAAAAGTGAATCTGTGGCTTTGAAAGGAGGGGCAGAGGGCAAAAGAAAAAGTTCTCTCCTTCCAACTGCGCCCTTGAGCAGGAGCTGATAAAAGGCCAAAGGCAGGTCTCTGCGTTGCCGGGAGATCAGACTCCACTCCGGCTTTGCCTGGGAGCCGTGTGGATAAAATATTAAGCACCGGGGCTGGAGCAGAGCGGGTACAGCAGGCATAATCAGATGAGTAGCTAAAGGTCTGGCATCCTTTGGGGGCGCGTGTGATGGATCAGCCCTTGCAAAAATAAATAACTCTGACCTTTGGATCTGTGTAGCAATTTTAAATTTGTAATATATCTGTATGTGTGGTGAAGGATAAGTCGTCACCCTGCACTCTGTGTCTGTGATTCCCTGGGTGAATTTATCATGCTCTCTCTTTCGGAGGACTTCAGATCCCGCTGATAGCCGGTTTAAAATTCCCATCCCATCTTTATTTTGCTGAGGTGTGACATGGAGTTGGGCTGGGCATCGGCTTGGCTGGGGATTCTCTGACACTGAAAAGGG